CGCTCTTCCCATTGTTGCCATTTATAAACCACCAAGTCTTGCAGACTTTTTCTTCCCAGCGTCTCTCATAACCATCCCTTTCATTTTAACTATAGCGGCTTCACGAATGTTCCATTACTCCACACCGTATCTTGGGCAGTGATTCTTTAAATAGTAGTCTGTTGACTAAAGTATTCTATCAAAAGAGCTGGAAGCAGTGGTGTGCTGGCAAACGTATCACAACCAGCTCTTTGGGGAAAGAAGCTGTTTGTAGAACTTGCCAATTTCCATGGTGTAAATACTCCCGCCCAGGCGGATTTCAAACTATCAACTTGATGTCGCTGAATGAGGAACTGGGGAGAGATGAACACAGTCAGCTTTCATGAGTCAGTGCAGGCTGCTGTAAGTCAGCTCCAGCATGTCACTGGCTGGAAGATTAATTTTTCTCAAGCACTGTTTAAATCAGCTACTCTTGAATTCAGCAATCTCCCTGGGCCTCTACTGCCCGGCATGGAAACAGCGAATATGGCCTGTCCACTTTTCTCTATCATAAATACTATGCCAGGCCACTTGATTGGAGAGGCCCTGGCCGTTTAAATGATCTCCCTGCTTCCATCATAGCCCCACAATTGAGAAGCAACACTTAACAAACTCCCTCGGCGATTCTTACACAAGCTGAACAGGGTCACCTTCACAACACTGTCAATCAACCAGACTCCAGTAAAAAATTAAAAACATAAAATAAAATAAACAAGGTCACCTTCTAAGCCCCAATTTAGGTTCAGTGTTCCCTTCCCTGTTTGGAGGGAGGCATCCTCAAACAAGGTAGGGTATGGATTTCCATAATGCCCTGCAGGTGGCCTAATTGGACTTGTGATGGTGCTGGTTTGAAGTGGGCTCCCTTGCTCAAGATGATCCAGAGAGAAGTGGACACCTTCGGGGACGTCTGTGAAGCTCACATTCACCACCTCTTCTCCCAGCTGCCCAAAGAAGTGCATTATTGGAGGCTATATTTGTGTACCTGGCCCCGCCCTCTGTCTGTACAGGATGGGCCAAGCTGGATAAATGGCCTTTCTTCTCTGGGAATTCGGGTTTGGGACTGAGAAAGAGACCAGTAGTGTGGCTCGAGCTGTAATGGGTGAATTCGGGGGATGTCGGCTGCCATTTTTCACTGGCCACGTGGTTTGGGTAGAGGACCAAGTAGAGGGCTGACTGCCGGGAAAGAACAAAGCAGCCGTACTGAGGTGGAAGCCACGGCGAGATTGAAAACGAGGGCTCGTGGCTTCTCAGCAATGCTCTGGTCCCGGTTCAGGCCCATATGAGGCCTGGGGGGATTTCTATTATGGGTTTGGTGAAGCATCTTTGCATGAAGCATGATTTGCCTTAAAATAAATTTCCTGTTTTCATTTTCAGGTGGCTAAACTGGTTTCTATTTCTTGACTCCAAGTTTTGGAATCATCTTTTTTTTCACTGTAATAGTTGCTCTCATTTATACATTTTATTTTTTTATTGAAGTATAATTGATTTACAAGGTTGTGTTAGTTTCAGGTGTACAACAAAGTTATTCAGTTTTATATATACATATATATATGTATATATATTATATATATGTATATATACATATACATATTCTTTTTCAGATTCTTTCCCCTTATAGGTTATTACAAAGTATTGAGTATAGTTCCCTGATGCCTACTTCTTTATGTTGTATTCTGTTCTAAGTGAGGAAGCTCTTGAAAACTCAAGCCATGGACAGGAAGTCATGCCTCTTGCCATGGGAAAGCAGGCCAGCCTCATCGTCCTGCTACTGTTGTTTAAATTGGTTGATCACATAAATGTATAACACACACACAAACACACACACACAGAGCTGAGTAGCTGGTAAATAACCCAATCCACTGACTGACCATACCACTCGACTATTTCGGTCTTTCATCTGTCCAGATATAAAATTAAGTAAAACAAGGTCATTAGTTAATCAAACAGATGCCATATCTGTGACCAGATTTATTGCTGGGACATATTGAGTGATATTTTACTATCAGGTATATAGTCTATATTTCTGACCATTTTCTTTTTATTGGGCCCCTTGAGCTGAGAACATTTGGTGCTATTGTTCTGCTTCTGTTTCATTATACATGTGTTCTTTTTTTTTTTTTAAACATGCCAAGGAATGATGCCTTTTTTTGCCTAAGTATTATTTTAGCACAAACATTATTTTTGCAGTTGCATTTTTTAAAAAAACTTATCTTAAATTTACCGCAGAGCCAAGCATAATACATTCTAGGTAGTTGTATAAGTCACAATTTCTTTCAGGAAATATTATAATAGACAAGGTTTCCATTAAATGCAGGCTTTTATGCTTTCTTAGCTTCCTCCAGGTCATTAACCCTTTCACCTCCAATCATCTTAGCAATAGGACCTAGGCAACTATTATGTAATTGATCATTAGCAAAACAGCCATGGTGGCAAAAAGAAATACTTTTGTAACATACGATGTACATTTAACTTCAAGACTGATGCTTCAATACTCAGTTGATTTGATTATTAAGACTCAAATTAATTCTACCTTAAACTTGAAAAAGTTACATCTATATTACACTTATTTAAAGATCAGTCTTCAGCAGTGAAAAATTAGTGATATTCACATTCCATAATACCCAACTGAAATGTTACTGTTTTATTTTTATTACATTTTATATAGCCAGAAGAATGTCCTTATTTTTGGGAGGTATATAGCCAAAGTATCTAGGGGTAAAGTATCGTGATGTCTGTAATTTACCTTAAAAATGGTTCTCTGTATCTATCTACGTTTCCATGTATCTATCTATGATCTAACCAGATGATCATCTATAAGCAAATATGGCAAAATGTCAACTGTCAGTTTTATGCCATAGGTATGTATGAGCATTCATTATACTGTTGTACTCTTCTGCATCTTTAAATTTTTTCATAATAGGCAGTCCACACATTTATTCAGTCTTTGAGAAGCAAGTTTTATGACATAATTGGCATGTCGTACTTTCTAGGCTTTTTTTTTCTGCACATGTAAGATCAAGAACACTGTACTCTATGTTCTTTCAGGCCCTCTTCCAAGTGCAAAGTCTGAATTTTCACAATTTGAAAGCTTTCTGCTTGCTAGGAGGGTGAATTTCCTGACGACTGTAAAGTTATGTAGGCACAGTTTTTCATTTGAACAATTGAGGTCAATTAAAATGTGTCTGGATCAGAAAGTGTTCAGTGGCTTTCAGGACAACATGCAGATTTATTTTGTATTTTTCATTTCCATTCATACAAGTAGGACATAGTAACTGCTGATGCTAGGAAATGGTTCACTTTAGCAGAACAGACTTTCCTCAGGTTAGAAGCAAACAGCACGAGGAAAGGCACCTAAAGAGCAAAGAGGTAGAAATTGGGGAGCTGAAGACAGTATGGCCAGAATGAATTTCTTTGTGCTTTTAAAAGGAAATGAAGTTGCATGTACTCACTTCTCCTCGATCACTTGCTTTTGGTATTCCTCATATTCCTCTCTAGTCATCCCCTGAGCTGCTGCAGGATCAGATGTACCTTCTTCTTTTTTTTCTTCAGACCTGCCACCAAGTCCTAAATTCTTTACCTGACTACTTATCATAGTTTTCATAAGGAAAGCCATTGTTTCCGCCCCAGAAAAACAATACCAAAAACTCAGACAAAACCTGAAGGGAAAAAAAAAAACCCCACAAAACCTCTAAATATCTACGACGACAGCAACACATTTAAAAGCAGAGGACTTCGCACAGGCTCATCTATTCAAGGGCATAATGACACAGAAGAGTGGTTTGTGCGCTGTAAGCTGGATTAAAGAGGTGAACTCCTTAGTATAGAGAGGCAGATGGTTCAGATTACTAAAGCATACAATCAGACGCAACTGACTACTTTCTGAACTAATACACTGAGCTAATTTCAGAGGGAAAAAATATCCTTCACATTATCCATCCCTCTCCCTACCCATTTCTAAATTTTAAATTATAAGCCAGCAGGGCTTCATCAAGAGTTGGTTCAATTAAATTAATCAGAGCAGACCGATTATATGGCTGTAGTGGAATTTCCAAATTCCAGCCCTTGAGGACAACATCCTGTTGAAAACTGAGTCCAATGAGACTCAAAACCCGAAATGCTTCATTAAGCAAAAATAATCCTTTGATCCATCATTTTATCTCATTGGACTCTAAGTACTATGCAAGGATTTGCTTGAATTCTATACTGTTTCAGCGGTTACTGTGTCCTGTACGTAAATACCCAACCGAGGCAAGTGTAAAAGGGCAAGCCAGAGGGTCCTCTGCTTACATCTGGATTACCCTAGCCTGCTCCTGCATCGTTACACTTCTGCATGGAAATGACGCGCTGGATACTTTAACTGCTCTGATCCAGAAGGTAAGAACACGAGTCAAATCATCAGTGTGTATCGAGGTCACCTTTTCCTCTTACACGCAGTCACTTCCTGGGTGCTCTATTTAAGCTCACTGGCGTTACTTGGAGAAAACTTTTTTTTTTTTTTTTTGGCGGTACGCGGGCCTCTCACTGTTGGGGCCCCTCCCGTTGCGGAGCACAGGCTCCGGACGCGCAGGCCCAGCGGCCATGGCTCACGGGCCCAGCCGCTCCACAGCACGTGGGATCCTCCCGGACCGGGGCACGAACCCGCGCCCCCTGCATCGGCAGGCGGACTCCCAACCACTGCGCCACCAGGGAAGCCCTGGAGAAAACTTTTGACGATGTTTTGTAACACAGATTCTCAGTGGCTGTGGTTTTCTCCAGGTCAAGGGAGGAATTTGAGCATGGCTAAGACTTTAATCTATGTTAGTATCTTTCTAATTAAAGCACTCCAAGAGCAGGTGGGGCAGAGGGGAAAGATACAGCCTATCAGTAACCCATGCTTATTATTTTATCTGTGGGCATGAGCCCTTTCAGGAAATAGATGACTATCCCTCAGATTGTACAGAACTATATAAACTGGATTTTTGCCTAAAATGCTTTTTTTAATGTATTTTAAGATCTGCTTTTCATCTTACTAACCAATTTAAAATTGTTGCTAAAATGGTCTCAATTTGAAAGATTAACAAAGATTTAGGGTGAAATAGAAACTTTTCTCGGTGGTCTCTGATTGAGAACGTACATTCATACTTAGCTCCAATTCTAATTTAAGATGTGTTGCCCGGGACTTAATACATTCAAACCATGATCTCTAAATTATTTAAGATAAAAATCCATTTTATAAGTTATTCTGTTATTAAATTATTAGATTATAAAATTATTAAAATTCCATTTTATTAGGAATTAGGAAATATTATGAATGGTGAGGGTCTCAATTCTAAACTCCAAAGCCAGTTGGTGAAGCAGCCTCTCCCTGTCCAGTCCTCTTCTGTCTGTCTGTGTGTGTGGGATGGGGGGAGGCTGGGGAGGAGGGGTGGGTGTCAAGCATCACAGAAACTCTTACGTGGTAACTACATCAGTGTGACAAATGAATACTCCCTGGTGGTGCTTTATGAAATCAAATCTTCCATTGTCTTCCCAAAAGATGATTCCATTGGAAGTGGGATCACGTCTTTAAAAACTTTTTATTCCTCAATTTATTATAAAGGCCTTTCCACTTGGACATTCAGCAACTATTTGCTGTGTGTGGAATCCTCCAGAAAGGGAAAATAAATACTCCAGGTGAAACAGGACAACTAGGTGTTACCCCTCCTCCAAAGGCTTCTCATCATACTTGAACAAAATCCCAAAACTTTACTATGGCCATGTCCCCAGTGCCCCAACCAGTGTCTAGTTTCCAGCACCGCCCCCCGACCCCCAACAGAAGGCTCACTGATCAGGCTTTAAGTTTCCTCTGATTTCTTTCAAACCTATGTAATTTAATTCTTTAATTTTACATTACTCAGTATTTTCTGTGGGCTTATAGCACAAGGGTCCATTACGTTAGTTTCCATATTCTGAAACCACTTTATAAAGACCATCTTTTACAAAGCTACCAACCCTGAGACAGAAGTATTATGAGGAAACTGAAGTTCATCTTTACTAAGTGGCAAAGTCAAGATTTAAACTCGGATTTGTTTGACGCTAAAGCTCTACTCTTTCCTTTTTATACCACGTGGACTCTCAGAATTGGAATTACTTGGTTGAATGGTGCTTGCCAAAAAGAGGAAAAGATTTTTATAAAACTGCCATTAGAAATGACTAAAAGTTCCAGCTTAGCCACACTATTACCAGTATTTGGTTATTAGAGATGAAAACATCAAATACGTTGTTTTAATTATTTTGTGTTTTTCATTACCAGCAAGGGTAAGCATTGACCCATTATCATTTCTTATTGTCTTCTTATGCTTCCATGTACTGACTCTGCAGGTGGTGGGCCACCACCTGGGGCAGAACGCAAAGCACGTGACACGTGAACCACTATCACAAATCGGGGCCTACTGGGGAAATAACTAACTACTTATTACCCGAGACCAATGAAGGAAAAACGTAAATTTACTAAAATATTTCTTTATTTGAATAAGGTCAATGTCATTTCTTGAATTCCAGCTAGCATCAAATTAACAATCAGAAAAAAACACTTGACAAAACGTTATCCAATTGAAATCAACAGTGGATAGAAAACCCTTTTAAACTTTAAAAGAAATATATTAAACAGGCAACATACAGATCTAAAAAGTTGCAAGTGGTGATTTTACATTAGATCTTATAAATTAAAAAATCCCCAATATAACCATTTGTTCACTATCTCCCTGCGATAAGCACATGGACAGGAAAAGATAATCACATCTTAATATTCACAACTGTCACTTATGTTCTTTACAAGGATTGTATCTCTGCAGTGCAGCGGGTCAGGCAATCTCTTATTCAAGTAATTTTTGTTTTCCCCAAGTTATCAAAAAGTACAACTGTCTGAGATAAAATGTCACAAAAATCACAATCAGCAAAGCAAAAAGTTTTAGCAGGCCATCTTGAAGATGGGGGTTTTCATGGCTTGACCACGATATGAAGATGCTTTTGTACGTTTAAGAGCTGTCAACCAAAGTACCAAGAGCGACAAGCAGCAATCTGGGTTTAGTTTGTAATTGTAATAAACCAGGAGTTTTAGTAAAAAGAACATTAAGTAAAAAATTGTCAGTATAAGAGAATCAGTGCACATTTGCTAATGTCATTGACAATGAAAACGTTACATCAGCTCTCAGCTCAGCGTTGAAGTTAACAAGAGACTTCTTTGTTCACCCCCCCATCTTAGCGCTTCTCAACAGCAGTGTGCTCAGAATCACCTGAGGTGCCTGCTGAATACTGATATGCTGAAGCCCCCACCCCTGGGTTCTGCTTCAGGTGGTTTGGAGCTGAGCCTGGAATCGGTATTCTTAACAAGCACTCCAGGATCCAGATGGACCACAGACCACACTGAGAAACACCATTATCCCTTTAATACATGACAGAATATTGTGGCCTCATAGAGTTTCAAGCTGAATAAAACATTCAAACAATTACAACACAAAGAGGTACATTAAATAAGAGTATTAACCATTATATCGAATATAATTGCATTTCTTTTTTAAAGTGGCATAAGCACAAAGACTTACACTAAAATTGTAAAATCAATTTTGTTTTAATCCAAGGCACCTGTAAAATACTTGCTGGTGTGAGAGAAGTTAAATTCAATTATATAAAACAGTACAGAAATGAAAGAATCCTGGCAGTGACTGATTTTTCCATAGAGCAAACATTTTTTTCCTACAGAAATGAGCTACTTAAAGTTGACGATTTTGAGGAAAATAAACCAAATTTCCAATAATATGGTAACTTGTATGAACCGATTTACTGAGTGATTTTCAGCAAATTAAATCAGTACGAAAGAAAAGAAGGTTCATGCTCGTATACTGCATAGGTCTAACATTTCTTTAAGTTCAGGCACACGTGACCATGGATTTTATAATACTGGATATTTTGCAACCTTTTATCTCAAGAGGATTTCCAAGTCTACAACTGAAACATTCTTCTGAAGGTATTAATTTTTTTTTTCATGGAATAAGAGTAAATTCTGTGATGATGATGTCTCTGAAATATGAATTTCAAAATGCTAACACCACAAGGAAAAATGCTAGCAAAGCAGTTCTGTGTTGGAGTGGCTGTTGGTATGAGAGTGATGGTTAGAATGTTCCTCCTGTTCAGCGTTCCAGGATAAACGCTACTGTAAAAAAGCCGCGCTAGGACCGTTTGCATATGTAGTGCTAGTTAGGTATTGCTATAATGCAGAGTTCTTTAGAGCCTTTGTACGGATTTTCAGCAGTTAGTCCAGTCTGTAAATGACAACTAAGAGCAAATTTATGAAGGCTGTGAAGAATTAAATAGTGCTGTTTACAAAACGGTACTATTTTTGATTCTGTGACAAATGAAAGCTATCGTTTTAGCTATAGCTGGAAGAGGTAAAGTAAAAGAGTATTTTGAAGTCTACATCAGTCGTGAAGACAAAATGTCATTTACAGATTGTTTCTACTACACCTAGAACTATGGGCAACAACCCCTTCCAACCTGATATTTCAAAGTTAACTTACTAACAAGTGCTTCACAATATCCTTAGTTCTGGCGCTAAAAGAAAGAAATCAGAAGTACTAACACTATTTTTTCAAATTTTGCCTCTTCAAAAACTTTAACACTGCTGCTACTGCCTTCTTGATTTCCACAAATATGCAGCATCACAAACGCCAGGTTGCGTGGAGTGATGTAAATCAGAATGCAGTGGTAGTTTTTAATGACCTTAAAATATACTCAGGGCATGCAATCTGAGTTGAATTTAGAGATAACAACGCAGAGTAATTTTCATAATATTGAACTGACACTGTTGGAACATAGACATTCAAGAATATGAGCAACCATGAAATGAACACGTCACTAGGTAAAATACCCATAAAAACCATTGTCAGAGGAATGTTGTCACCTAAACGGTTTTTCAGGCAAAAAGCAGCTCTTAATTCTCCCCTCCAACTTCCTTTAACAGTGAAATATATCACTGATAATCAGAAGGGAAAAAATACCTCAATAAACATTCTGAAGCCTATTATCCAGATCCTAACACTCTCACACAAAACATTCTTTGATTTCAAAGGGAGCTGTATTAGACTCAAGGACTGCAGGACTGAGTCTTCGAGTAGGAAATTCTGGCCTCTAAAAAAAAGGCTTGGGTTACAAAATAAACATGATGGGTAGCTCTCAGACCTCATATTTTGGTGGGGGGGCAAGAGGGCAAGGGTGTTCATGCTAAAGATAGAAACTTGCAACATCAGAGACTTAGGGGTAACTTTCATATACGGGGGTGCCCCCTTTCTGTTATTTACCCTCTGATTTATCAATATTCTGTTCAGTGGTTGTATTCTACTGGCCGGAAATTCACTGAAATTTAAATAGATTTATGTACTATGCACAAATTTACATATGGTTGTCTTTAAGGTTTATTCTTATTCAAGTCAATGTTCAAACAGTTATTTTATACAAAATTTAATAATTTAGACTACGAAGCAATTTAAATACTTAAATTCCCTCAAAAAGACATTTTGTACATACATACATGATGTACACATATGAAAATGGTGATCAAAAGAATTTTTTGGCAGCTGCTTCTTGCTGAGTCCTACGGAAAAAGAGAACAACAACAAAAAAAACTGAAAGAAGTTCTATATACTTTACATTGGAATGAAACAGGATTGCATAAAATGAAAAATGCCTTTTGAAGTATGAAATACATGAAGATAAACATATGTCCTATACATGTATTCCCATGTGAACTGAAATAGACTAGACACAATATTTGCTTTGTATGAACCTAATTTTATAGGTATTGAAAATTCTATTATGGACCTTGATAACTTTATTGAATATCTCAAGTTAAATAAATACAGAAAAATGTTGGGTCAAATTTTAGAGACTTACCTATACATGATATAACCAATGAATAACACCGTTTGTACCACTACAAATACAACAAAGTGCACCGTAGATAAACACGATGGAAATGGCGGTAGTTCTGGACATTTCAGTCTTTCATTTGATGGCTATAAGGCAAAGAACTTTCTATTACAATTAGTCAAATCAGTATTTTAGAAAAGGAAATAAATGTGAAATCTTTATAAAACTCATGGTTTACTGTATAAACTCAAGTATTTTCATTAATTCATCTCATAATTGCCTTCCACCCTCTTAACTTTCACCACCAAACTTTTTGAAAGAGCAGGCAATGTGGGAAGGCCTCCACTCTTTCACTGTCCCGTCACTAACTCATTGCTGTCTGGCTTCTACCTTCATCACAGTGACAATGATTTTAGTGTCCTTGAAGGTCACAGATCACCAATTCCCTCGACACTCCCAGTTTATACTTGCTGTACTAGAGCAATTATTAATAGCAGCATCCTCTCTCTCAAAAGTGTTCTATTTCAGACAATTACACAGTTGCCCTACCGATGAACTACCTGACAGAGATAATGGCCTTTTCTCAGCTCTCATCCACCCCAATCTCCTAACATTCAACATCACTAATTAGTATTCTGGAAAATGTTTCTTTTCCTATTTCCATGATTATTCATTCTATTATAAGCAAGTAATTAAATACTAGGGACAAAGATTTCATCAAAGTATCCAGACAGAATGGCTTCTAAGGTTAGTTGTTCTCAATATGCTCACACCTATGGGACAAAGGTCTTCACTATGTATTGATATATACTACCCACAGCATCAACTTGGCCACTGCAACAAAGGCAAAAGTTGGGGGGAAATAAACTCAAACAGAACTAAGGGAATAGATGATAATGCTTTGGATGGGAGGTAAAATGGTCAATAAGAAAACTATTAAGCTATATTTGAAAAATTGGAAGGGAAGAGGGAAATGCTACAAACATTTGTGAATTTTATAAGGGTTTTCAAAGCCAGTAAATAAGTTAGGAAAAAACTTAAAAGTTCCAGGGATCTGTCTTCTCAATAATATCTCATATGCATGTTAAACTTCAAAAATATGCTACCTATTTTTAATATTTATTGCCTATCTCCAAAAATGTAGATGGGACTTACACTACAAAAAAGACCTAATAAAGTAAATAAAATAAAACTTTAAAAAATGTACCAAGTAATACAGGAAAGTAGCTGGAAACAAACAAAAATCTTGCCTAAAGAAAGCTGCTATCAGCCAGTTTTAGATCTGCACTTCCTGAACAGCCTAGACAGAGAAATATGAATTACCTGGTGCCTGTCTGTCTAACAAGTGGGTGTGTCGAGAGACATTTACCTTGTTCAGAGCTGTTTAAAGGTATCATTACTGATAACAAGAGACATGTTTTTAAAAGAGAACTTATAGAAAAGAACCTAGAACAAAAAGAGTCTGAGATTGTGATGACTCCACTAATTGGAATAGCAATTTATTTTTTAAAAAATTCTATTCAATAGGCTATGGAAGCATGATATGGAACACGTAGACATTTGAATCACATGGAGTAATTCTACCTTGAATATTAAGAAGGAGCACTGGCATTAATTTAAAAGTTATAATATTTTCGGTGGAATATGTGGTTTTCCTTCCAAAAGAAGACTGATAATCATGAACTAGAAGAAAAAAGAGCTTACCACATTTCGCTGCACTAAGTTATCTATGTCCCGCTTCACTATGTGGAGGTGCTCTTTGATGTCATTGAAGTGCTGGGTTGTCTCATAAACGCCCCCTGCAGATCCAGGATGCTGTATGCCACTGACCAGTCTGACAGTTTCACTCACGGAATTCCTGAAATAGAAAATCCTTTTACAATGGAATCACTAGAGAGATGATTTTTACAGTCAGAGATTTCAAATGGTTAGATATATTTCTAAACCCAATGCATCAGATCATTAAAAAAAGAAAAACAGAAAAAAACCCCAGAAACAAAATAAGTATTTTAAAAAATTGTCTTCAAGATCAGAAAATAGTTTATAAAAACTAGATTATGCCTTTATCTTTTACTAAAGGTTGTCTAACCACAGAGAATAATACTAAATAATCTGTGTTAAAAACAATATTATAAATGGCTTGAATAACATAATGGATGATACTCTTAATGAGCTTAAATCTTTCTAAGTGTTTAATGTTGTGCAGTAAAGGATTAACCCATCAGGCCTGGGCTGCCCAAACCCCACACATTCCAAAGGTTTTCAGACCTGGTCCATGACTAGCCCCTGGGAGATAATCTCTATGCTCCTGGAATATGCTGCCTGTTAAGAGTGCCTTTGTCTACCTGGGGCCTTGGGCCGGCCAACAATATGATTTATGTTTGTTTGCCTGGGGCCTTAGGCTGCAGTACCAGTCTGACCTCTAGGGGGACTGAAGATTGAGTAGTTGAGGTCAGTCATGTGGGTGCTCCATGCCTACGTGACTGACCCCTAATAAAGAAAACCCCGACACCAAGGCTTGGGTGAACTTCCTTGGTTGCCAACACTTTGCACGTGTTGTCACGCATCACTGCTGAGAGGAATAAACACCGTCCACGTGACTCCACTGGGAGGGGACAACTGAAAGTTTGTGCCTGGTTTCTCCTTAACTCCACTGTATGAACCTTCTTTCTTTGCTGATTTTATTATATATCCTTTCATTGCAATAAACCATGACTGTGAGTACAGCAGCTTTTCTGAGTTCGGTAAGCACTTCTAGAAGACCACAGAATCTAGAGGCGGTCTCAGGGACTCATAAGACAAATGTATTATCAATAATTCAATTTCTCTTTACAGTTCTATCAGATGTCCCCTATATACAAACCTAGCGCTTCAACCAGAAACCAACTAAAGAACATCTATCTGTTTCAAATATGAAGGAAAAACTGGTTGTTTGGCATACTGAGCAATGGTGTGGTAATCTCCACCATGGTATCTTTTTTGAAGGGTAATTCTGACTTTATACATTTTACCTTACACTGACTTCAGAATATAATCCCCATGTAAGATGTGATTCCACTATTCAGATGTAAGATAAAGAGCTCTACCACTGAGTATGCCATTTGGATATGAGTCTGTAAGCATGATAGTGTAAGAGACGACAATTTTTTTTTTTTTTTAAAATAATGGCAGAAATGTAACAGGGCTATTTATCAAGAAAGAAAGGAACATATTTGAATTTCAGTTTACCTGAAAGTATTACTACTCCCTTTCACCTGTCTTGGTCCTGATGTTCCCTGAGAATATCCTTCACATAAAGCCTCTGTGTCTGGGCTGCTTCTTCTAATCCTGGCCCTTCCCTCCAAGAAGGAGGGTCTAAAACGGAAGGGCCAGTTCAAACTACTGCCTTTCCTCTATACTATCCTCTCCCTGAGGCTTCCTTGTCAAATGCAACCATTCCCTAAACATCACACATACTTTTCTCCTTTGTATCTGTATACAGTCAGCCCTCCTTTTCTGTGGTTTCCACATCCATGGATTCAACCAACCATAGACCAAAAATATTCAGAAAAAAAAATTCCAGAAACTTCTCAAAAGCAAAACTTGAATTTGCCACACAGACAACTATTTACATTGAACTTACAGCTATTTACATAGCAATATGTTATATGAGGTATTATAGGCAATCAAGAGATGGTTTAAAGTATACAGGAGGTTATAAGCAAATACTATACCATTTTATATAAGGGAATTGAGTACCCCTGGATTTTGGTATCTGCAGGGCCCTGGAACCAATCCCATGGATATGAAGGGAATACTGTATATGGGTTTTCTCCCTCATAGAGCATAAGCTACGTGAGAACAGTAATGTCTTTGATTTTCTGACAGCCTTCAACAGTTACAGTGCAATTTGGATGAATGAATAAATAAGTTATCTACCTTATTTCCTTGAAGTAAAGTTTGGTTTAAAAAGTATCAATAAAAGTTGGACTTCCCTGGTGGGTCAGTGGTTAAGAATCTGCCTGTCAATGCAGGGGACATGGGTTCAAGCCCTGGTCTGGGCAGATCCCACATGCCGCGGAGTAACTAAGCCCGTGCGCCACAACTACTGAGCCTGCGCACTAGAGCCTGCGAGCCACAACTACTGAGCCCATGCGCCACAACTACTGAAGCCCGCGCGCCTACAGCCTGTGCTCCACAACAAGAAAAGCCACCGCAATGACAAGCCCACGCATCGCAACAAAGAGTAGCCCCCGCTCCCTGCAGCTAGAGAAAGCCCATGCGCAGCAACGAAGACCCAAGACAGTCAGAAACAAATAAATAAATTTATCAATAAAAGCTTTGCTAGAAGAAAACAACAAAAAAAAGGAACTCAAATATTAAAATTACTTAGAAATAACAGAGTAGGTCAGGCTGAATGTTAAGTATAATAAAAAATCTTCAAAAATTCTACTTGAGTTACACGAGCAATGAAGAGTTAAAAATTTGCTACAAAATATCTCAAGTGCTTTCTGAATAAATGACATCTGTTGATTAAAACTTCTTTGAATGGCATACATGCTCAAGGAAATTCATGTGAGTCTAAGCTTTTCCACTTAAACCCAAATTAAGAATTATATTCTACTATCTCTAAAATACTTACCAAGAATAAAGCATCCCAGAATATACAATCTTCTCACATATCTGCATTTTAAAATATTGCTTCCCAGAGCATGAACTTGCTTACATATACATAAATGTCTTTTTAATACACAAAGACTGAGTCATCATTCATTCACTTGCCTGTTGATTCTGCTAAAGTTTATTTGCTACATGTTATGAGCCACGCAATTTTTAGGGATATAAACTGTGCAAGAAAAATATAATTCCTGCCCTGCTGAGACTAATAGACTAGCAGGAAAGCAATGTGATAGAGGCACATCTACAGTTCTATGAAGAAAGATGCATTTAACTTAGCTGGGCACCCACTGCTGAGTGTTAAAGGATAAAGGAGGGTTCTGTGAGGATGGGATTGTGACGGAAGGAGGGCATATGTAGCTTAGGGAATAGGTCAAGTGAAGAGGGCTGGATAGAACACCAGAGAAGAAATACCTTTTAAGGAATAACAGGAGGATGACCAACAAATTAAGAAAACTAAGAAGAAGCAGAGGCCAAGAACATCAAGAGTAAGTGGTATGCTAGAAGCCTTGGGAAAAAAAAATGTCTCAAGATAGAGGGGGTGGGAAAGGTGTCAATTTCTGCAGAAAGTCCAGCAGGATGAGGACTGAAAGGTACTCATTACAGGGCACCACTGACTGCAGAAAGAACAGTTTGGTGCTTTCAGGACAAATTACAGTGGTTTGGAAACGAAGACAGGCAGTTTGGTCTACTTTTTTAGAAACTCACTAAAAAGGAAGGAAAAAGAGAAGCAATAGTAAAAATAATAGAAAGCGTCAATTAAAGGTTTTGTTTTGATTAGTTTTCAATAATGGAAGAGCAAGCCCTTTTGTATGAGGTGTAAGTTAAAGGTAGAAGACAGAGAAAGGATCACTAAAGAGCAAGGGTCAGAGAAGTAGAAAGAATGGGATCCAGGGCTAAGGACTGGCCTGGACAACAGCTGTGCAGATGGAGACAAGTGTGGGGATGGAGGGTGCAGCACGAAAGAGGAGGTGAAGGAGGAGACAATGTCATCTCCCAGGAAGAATGTCAATGGCAGGCTGAGTTATGGGGCTTGAAGAGAGCGGTGAAGATCTTGAATCAGAGTAGTGAAGATACAGAATGAATACAGATCACTAAATAGCTTAAATATTATATTACAGGGACAGGCTGAAGGTACAGAAGATGATAATTTAGAGCAAGATCCCAGAAGAATATGTGAAAATATTCATGTAAAAATGCCTAGCACAGTACCCAGAATGCAATAGGTACTCAAAAAATTTGGCAAAGGTAAATATGAAATGCTAAATGCTGCCTGCTCACCAAAAAGAACTTATTTAAAAAATTACAACCAATTAATAACACAGCCAACACATACAAATAGCAAAGTTCAAAGAACATTAGTAACTCTGTCCACTGAAAAGGCCCAGAAGCAATTACAATCCAGTAGCATTAAGCACGACACTGTCTTTAAATACCATTTCTCACTGAAAGACCAGGGCTCCAAAGAAAAATGCCTTTGACACGTGTGGGACCGAAATGTACAAGAGAAACCTGGAAAGTCTTACACCTGAAAGGAAGGAAGCTACCAAAGACTACTGGGGTTGCATCAAGAGGATGCAGAAGCTAACCTGTAGGGACAGCTAGCGCCCAAAGATGAAACAATCTGAACATCAATTATAAGGACTAATGTAAAACAGCAAAACATGTTGAACTCCACGAGTTGAAAGACAATCAAACAAACATCACCTCTCACTATCTCATCATTTAACCTTGGTCACCGCCAGAGGACCAACTCGTTACTCTAAAAACATGATAAAAACGAATCAAGTATTTATCCTGCCTTTCCTGAACTATTTCAGGGTAACAAGTAAGTAATCAGAGAAACTCTTTTTAAATGGAGACGGAAGTTTAGAATAAGAGTGTCGTCCTTCTTCAACCTCTAATGAAATGATGGATTCAGGCTACGGCCATCACTGGCGAAAACTTAGGCTGATGGAGGCACTTTATAATGAATGGCTCAGGCTGACAAAATCTGGTTGTTAGTAACTGCTGGACTGGGTGATGGGGATCTGAGAGAAGGCCCTCCTTATATTAGCCTCAACTTTTTTGTATGTTTAAAATTTTCTATAATTAAATAAAAATTGGCAAGGACTTATGGTATGCTAAAAATAGCACCTGAGAGTAGAGATAATGAGTACTAGTTCTGACTGTTTTCATATCATGATCTTTTATCATTCAGAGCCTTTTCCCCTCTTTCTGTAACCTGCAGACAACCGAACTCCATGCTTCTGCTAAAAAAAATTCTATGATCCCCTAAGAGCGTGAAAATCCATGAAACACCCTTTCTATGAAAGGCAAATATTTCCTATCTCTTTGCATTTTTTTCTGAAGCTTATTCAGAAGAAAAAGCTTTAGAGGACAAATTCAGAAATTTGAGTTCAGCTTTTACATTAACTTATTGCATGCATGACATTTGTCCTTCATTAATAAGGGGGAATTTACATGGATTGCTAACTACCCTAAGTAAGTGTTTGCATGGATAATACAACTGGATGGCTAGGCTTTGCTAACCACTAACTGAATCTTAAGATGTTCTAGTTATTACTCTTAAGTCAAACAAGCACAAAACAGTATCTAAAGCATGCTACCATTTACATCAGAAAGAAGGAGATCTAAGAAAATACACATGTGGAGAAGAAATAGAGGAAGAACAAACCAGAAATTAATGGGATGAGTTACCAACAGGGGGTGGATGGGAAAGAGCTAGAAAGGAGGAGAGAATGGAAGTGGGGCAGCAGTGATGAAGAGGAAGTGATACCTCAATGAATATATTCTGGCTCCTAGAACCACAGCACTCACATTCCCTTCGTATACCCAAAATATAAACAATTAAAATCAACCAGGATGTAGGAGAAATGCAAACACTAACAACAAACCTAACTGTATCATAAATCAATATCATAACCATACTGAAGAGAGTGGGGAAGAAGAGAACTAAACTACCTACCTGGAAAACAGGTAGATACTGTAAGGCTAGAGGCAAAAGGAGCTTTACATAAATCATAAATCCATCACTATATGTGTTTCTCATAGGAATATGGCTTAATAATTTGAAACCACTTTATGTATACTTTATGCACACACTAAAACTATATCAATAAGTAAATACATTATAGATAAGAACCAGGTTTCTCCCTATCGGAGAAACAATTTTCAAATAGGGAAAGGAGGAAGGCTAAAATCAGCCCTTGAGTTTTCAGTTCAGTCCAGTCCAACCAAAATCCAGAGTATCTATATAATCTCGTGGTATACAAACGTAGAGTAAGGGATACAAAAATATGTGTATATGTGTGATTAGTATACATTCACATATTCCCTAGACCTGCCCACTGAGAGAGCCTAGATGCAATGGCACCCTAGTAGTAATGAGTATACCTAGTGCCCAGATCTTGGTTTCTAAATACTTTTCTCCAATAAAAGGAATCAGGGCTCACTGAGAAGTGGTTGATTCTAGAGCTGGGGCACAGAAAATACAAGATGAGCTTGAAACATATTACAGTACCAGAAAGTAGAGAAATATTTTTAAAAGATGGGGGTTTGTTGAAAGAACACAGAAGCCAACCTGAAGGAGTTCCTAACGACCAGAGCTGAAACAATTTGAACAACAAAATAAATAATGATATACAGGATTATAACCCACAGAATAAATAATCCATGAGTCCACACTGATATAAGCAGATTAAATAAATAAATGGGGGAGAAGGAGTAGTGGTCCTTACAGAATGCCAGTAAGTAGATATAGAAGGAATTATGGAAATAGAAAAACCAGCATTTGGTAAACACCACATTCTTGTTTCAGATAAAACATCAATGGATGCTAAAATTAGTGAGCTAAAAGTTAAAGTGAAACAGGATATTTACAAAGACTCAAAGTATCTTTCCCCAAATATTTATTAACCACCAAGGGAAAGATAGTAACTTCAGAGAAACCGGGAAGAAACAACAATATCCAAGTGATCACAGCCAACATCATCAGTTATAAGACATACCAACAGCATGAACATGATGCACTGTTGTATTCTTGTCAAAAATGCAGAACCTCCATCCAATCATGAGTAAATACCAGACAAACCCAAACTGAGGAACCAAATTGGTCCAATGAATTAATCAATGTTCTTGAAAATTGCCATGGTCATGAAAGACAAGGAAATATGAACTATTTCAGACTGCAGAAGTCAAGAGAAATAACTAAATGCAACGTGCAATACTGGACAGGATCTCAGAATGAAAAAGGCACTGGTAGAAAACTGGTGAAATTTGAGTAGATCATTAGTTTAGTTAATAGTACTGTACCAATGTTAATTTCTCCATTCTGACAATTGTACTGTGGTTATGTAAGATGTTAACATCGGGGGAAAGATAAGTGAGGGATATATGAGGGATATGTCCTTATTTTTTCTTGCAATGTCTAAAGTCTAAAATTAGATCAAAATATTTTTTTAAATGTTAAATTGATCTGGTCTGTTTCTCAAACAGTTTAGCTATTCATTTAACATCATAAATATTTTAATCATGAGTTTAAAAAACTTGAAGATTTTTTTAAAAAATGCCAAACAGTACAACTGAAAGAAATACAAATTTGCAGTTACAAGTTAGGCTGCCTGTAATCTCTAGGTGTTAAATGTTATCACCTTCTGTTTAACCTCACTCGTTTTAATTTTCCAGTCCTAAAGAACTCACCTTAACACTCTAGTTTGTCAAGGGCTGTACTGGCTGGGGCAGTGCCCTAACGTATTAGCTTATGACATGTAACATGTCGGCTGTTTCTCTGCTTCAGGTATTGAATGCTAATTATCTGGTAAGTGAATCCTTTTTAAAAACCTATCATTCAATGTTCCAAGGACACAGTGTCTCCTCTCTGCAGCCACCCTTTGCCCAGGCTCTCTTAGGGTACAACACAGGATGAAAAAGAGGTAGTCACACATAGCATATTTCCTTCAAAATGGTTTCATTCCATCAAAAAGAAGTTCCGGCATCAGGTATGTTTGTTCTACAGACCTGTAATACTATGCATGCTTATTCCTCCAGTTATTTTTCCTAGGATTGTTATGTATCACCCATATTCTTTTTATATTTTAGAAATGCACAAATGCTGTCAAACGACTGTGACAAAACCTTTTTTTTTTTCTTTAAGATGCTAAAGCATCTTTTTCTTTTCTAGCTTGGAACAAATAAAAAAAAATTTAGACAGGTTTCCTAAATATCGAAAGTCCCCGTATACTTTACATTCCCCTATTTACAAAATAATCTAGAACACGATTCTTACTCATGCTGCAGTCTTACAACAATAATGTGCTTGCATATGCAGAGAAGTCATGAATTTAGGATAAAGGTATCACGCAACACTCAGACATTACTGTTGTATACTTACTTCATTTCATTTACTTGTCTCAGAATCTCATGCTGAGTGTTCACAACAGTATCCAGTTCTTGTTGAGTGGTCTGGAGAAAAAAACAAAAGATGACCACCCAGCTCAATAATCCCCATTCTACAGAACATACAGCTTCTCTTTTCTACCTCTCCGCCACCGAAGGCTAATAACTAAGGCATATCTGCATATTTTCAACGCTCACCTGTCCATGCTGCCCTGGGATTCCTGCTCCTCTTTTAGAGAGCTCCTCCGTCAAGGAAGAGACATACCTTCTCTGTTCATCAAGAATCATATCTAACTGTCGGTTCAGCTGCTTGATTTCAAGATGAATACGATTCTGTCCTTCAAAGATTTGTCTCAGCTCACGATCTCCTACACTCTCAAATAATTCATCTGCTGAAATGGAAATTACAAATCAAAATTATTAGAATCACCTACACATAGTTTTCAAATTACTGTAAGTGACCAAAGCACTAACATATACTAGAATAAGAACATCATCAACACAGCGTTATGATCTTCCCACAGTGTTAAACATGCATGTAATTAATTCAATCGTGATTAAATTACTAATTGTTTTCACCATCTCTGGTGGTTGAATACTTATTATAAATTAGGTCTGAATTTTTTCACCTAAAAATTGTTTTGTCTTTTAAATAGACTGTGTGATTCTATTTACAGGGGCAGGCAGAACTAATCTAATTTGTTGCCTCTGGAAGGGGGTTGACTTGAAAGAGGTAAGGGAACTTTCTGGGGTGATAAAAATATTCTATATACTGATCTGAGTGATGGTTAAAGGGGTATACACATTTGTCAAAATTCATCAAACTATTCTCTTAAAATTTATGCATTTTACTTACATAAAAGATTAAGAAATGGAGTTGAGAACAGCTGATTTTCCTTTTATTCCTGACCATGCTTAAATCAGATCATTTCATTCAAACGCTTACTACAATAAGCTTCAGGATATATTCACAAATCATATGGGATGTTTAAAACAAATCCAAGGAAAAAATAAAACTTACCTTTCATTTTTATCTTCATTAAATCTGAATCACACTGTTAATCATTTATATTAACACACTACTTAGTTCAAAAGCTAGCCCAGGCTTTATTAAATATAGCCTTGATCATTTGTGCTCATAGGGAACCGAGATCATAAAAGTTAGCAGATTATATATAGTCCCTCTATTTGGCCTTATCTTGTTTTGTTTTTGACATGTAGCCCATGTAAGTTCTTAATTACATTAGCTTAGACCAATATTTAAAAATTTTCAACCTTTAATGTCCAGAATTCTGTTGAGTAGTAAGAGGAGTCGGTAATTACTTCACGTTACTCTCGCAAGTCTTGATAGTTTTCAAGTGTTCGCTCTATATTACTAAAGTAATTGTGTGTCACTAAAAGGAAAGAAATAAACCTTGGACGGTTTCATTCAACGAATATTTACTGAGTCTCAACTACTACGTCAGCACCGCTGTTGTTTTTCTAGGCTTAGGGGACACAGAAGTAGACACAGCAAACAAAGACCCCTGCGCTCACAGAGCTTACACTCCAACGGTTCACTGTCCACATCATCCAGGTACTCCCGACTGCACACTTCACTACGCGATACTCTTCCCGGTAAAAACATCAATCTCCGAGCCCTTTAAAGACTGAAGATTTGTTTAAAAATTATTTCTCGAAATTACTTGGAATGTGCCAGATCACAGAGCAAAGATAAAATGAATGAAGTGCCAGGTGACACATAAGTGCCACAGCTATTGCTGCAGCGGAGGACAGCTCTGCTCCAACTCACCAGGCTGCCCTTGAAGGTCAGGGTGGTCCTTCTGGAATTCCTCCTTTTTTTTATCCAATTCTTGTTGAAAGTGCTCAAATTCCTCCTGGTACTTTTCTTTTTCTTTCTCAGAAATTTCTTTATCTGGTGTAGGCTTTTTTGGAGTTTAAGAATAGATCATTAAAAAAATTAAAAAGAAAATAATAAACCTCAATATATGTTCTTTTTCTCATTTTAACTACTCTACCACTAGTTGAAAGGTTAATTTACTCTTGCTACTAATATTACAACAAAATATAAAAATAGCCACTACCATTTACTGAGTGCTTGCCAGAGGGCACTGTCTTTAATGTTTACAACGTTAAGGTGGCCAGTACAAACATCTCAGTTTTACCAGTGAAGAAATGGAGCGTTACAGAGGTTAAGTAACTTGTACCAGGTCATAACGGCAATATCTGGCAGAAGCAAGATCCAAACCTAAGTCAGTCTTCTCAAGTTTTCAGCTACGAGGCAGTACCACTGAACTACAGATAAACTTTTGGAAAAAAATGAGTATACTTACCGGCTCTTTCCCAGGCTCAGTCAACTGGAAAGTCAGAAAAGAAAGGACATCATGGTCATCTACAAAGTAAAAGAAAAAAATCTGAAAAAGTTCTGTAATAGATTATTTTTATGGTTGTGAATTTACTTTATAGACATCTGTTGCTTTAAAATAATAATCAATAAGGGAAACAACAAAAATTTGCTCTAATTTGGTAAAGGCAACGGTGCTCTGTGAGCTTAGAGACAAAAATTCATCTGACTTATATTAGAACTAGGTTAGAATTCACTTTTTAAAATCCTAAACCAGAACATTTAGCTGTGTTTAACACATGATGGATGTTTAATAAATGTCTGATAAGGGAATGAACAAACAAATGAAGGGTCAAAACAAGTCCAAACTCCTAATTCTGGCAGCAAGATCCTCCTTTATTTTTCCACAAATCTCCTTCATGCACTGCGTCCCAGTCAAGTGAGACAAAATCCTGTTCTTCAGGTATTTCCTGTTCCTATCTGTCTCTGAACCTTTCTTATAGTGCTTATCAGTCCCAGCCTTACTTTCCTGTTTTAACCATGACACTGCTCTGTCCTGGATTACTGGGACAGTCCTGATTTACCTGTGTTGCCCTGGCAATACTAATAGCATCTCCTGTTACTCCCAAAGCATCTCGATTAGAATATGATTACTTTTCTATATATTATTTGTATTTGTTTCCCTCATACAGATCTTATTTCACCTAAAATCGTATTAAAAAATCAAATTAGGGGCTTCCCTGGTGGCGCAGTGGTTGAGAGTCCGCCTGCTGATGCAGGGGACACGGGTTCGTGCCCCCGTCGGGGAAGATCCCACATGCCGTGGAGCGGCTGGGCCCGTGAGCCATGGCTGCTGAGCCTGTGCGTCCAGAGCCTGTGCTCCGTAACAGGAGAGGCCACAATGGACAGTGAGAGGCCCGCGTACCGCAAAAATAAATAAATAAATAAATATATAAAAATCAAATTCATTTCAAGCTGTTTAAGCTAAAAACAGCTAACAGATCAAACCTCATAACATCGAACTACAATACTCATCCTGGCTAGTGTCACATTCACAAAGCAAGAGAGATGAATTTCCACTGCAGCAATCTCTTTGCTTTCTGAAACTTTTATGGAGATCTAGATATATAGCCAGATTAAAGAGAAAATTGTAATACCATAGTGTAGGTTAGGTAACACTAGGAGAAGTCACGCAGTGTTAATAGAGCCCTAGACCCAGGAGCCAGAAATCTAAACCAAGTCCTGCCTGCGTCTGAGTTATTGGCCATGTGATCTTTAGAAAGCCCTTTAAATCCAAGATTTGACCAAGTCACCTAAAAATCGGTTAAATATGATCTATCCTTTCTCCTTCCCTCCTTGTTCTATTGTAAGGAAAAATTCACATATTTGAAAATAATAAAAATATTATACAATATGAACACAAGATGGTGTTAACATCCAATGATAAGTTCATTTAACACCACTCATGGAAAAAAAAGGGTAAGTACATCTTCTTTAAAGTTTAGCCCCCAATAATATTTCCTCAGGCTACCAAATTCATTTAAATGTGCTGTGGCAGCTCTCAGGATCCTAAAACACTTGGCAGTTAACCTTTTAAATGTTTCCTTCACTATAAAATATCACACCCAAACTGACAGTCTAATTTACATAATTGCACATAGCCCCAGGCAACTGTAAACCTACAGAAAGCAGAGGATCAGCAGTCCCAAGAGACCCAAAAGACTGGCACCCCAGATCATGGAAGGTTACAACCAGTCTTAAAAGGTTAAAAGCAAACAACGCTACCCATCTCCAAAATACATTCTTCCCAATAAAATTCATTTCACAACCTTTCAATATTAAAAGATACCAAGATTTTACCTGCAAGACCTCCAGTTGCAGCAGATATTCCAAAATGCCCCTGTGCAGGGATAATCATATTTTCCACTTTGGTGCAAAATTCATAATCATTTTTGTCTGGTGTGAAGCCATTATTGATCATTACCTAGAAAGACAAACTGTAGCTATAGCTTTTACAAAGATCTTGTAAAACAAATCTCAAGCAGTCAGTTTATGACTATTTGATCTTTATATTTGGTCTAATAACCACCAAAAAGCTATCAGCTTCAAATCATTATGCTGTATACCTTAAACTTACAGTGTTGTATGTTAATTACATCTCAATAAAATTGGAAGAAAAAATGAAAATAAAAAAAATTTATAAGCTGTAATCCCTTGTCCATTAAATAAACTCACTTATTTGGTATCATTATACAATGAGATAATTCACTTCAGAAAATGGTTTTTGCCCTACTGTGTGTCAAAGGCTTAAAAATAAAAATCTGATAACTTTCCATGAAAATCTTTCTAAAGTAGAATGTGGTTCACCTTCTCTAGAGAAGACCTAAGGAACCAACGTGATTACTTTCTCTGAATGGTTCCTACAGAAGAGGGATCAGGCTTGGTCTGAAACTCCAGTGACAAAGCGACAACGAGTAAGTTAAATTGACAATTTTTTACTATAGCAAGTTAAGAATTAAACAGATTGCCTCAGCAAGTAGTGAACTCCTCTTCATTAAATTAGGGGGGTGGGCTTCCCTGGTGGCGCAGCGGTTGAGAGTCCGCCTGCCGATGCAGGGGACACGGGTTCGTGCCCCGGTCCGGGAAGATCCCACATGCCGCGGAGCGGCTGGGCCCGTGAGCCATGGCCGCTGAGCCTGCGCGTCCAGAGCCTGTGCTCCACAACGGGAGAGGCCACAACAGTGAGAGGCCCACATACTGCCAAAAATAAATAAATAAAATTTAAAAAATAGGGGGGTAACTGGACTGTACTAAGTTAGCAGAGAGTCAGCAAAAGTGACAAGTCATATAGACAAAAAAAGGCAGAAAATGAAAAAAACAGAAAGACACACAAGCTTCTACGTTTCAGAATGTATTTTTGAAATAATGACCCTACATGTCTTAAACGAACTTTGGAAATCTAAGCAAGCACAGGAATCCACCTGGCACATGAATATTCTTCTCATGAGCCCAGTCAAGCAGTGGTCTGGCCTCTTCAATACCTTTCACTTCTAGCAACCCAACCACTAGCCCCACCCTAAAGAAGAGCCATCGAGATAGAGTGGAAGCAAAGGGAGTAGGTACACGGCACCAGAGTAAGGGCACTTCTATCATTATTACCACCAGATGCAAAGTTTCGTTAGTGACACTTAAGATAAAGTCATACAGGTAAAATGTGACAGTACTTGATCCAAATTTTTAGCAAAAGAGTAAGGGACAGGGCAATATGAAGGGTTAATCTCTATATAACGTAGGATGGCAACATGGGAACTCCTACCAATTTTTTAAAAATCACCTGCCATTTATTGACCAATATTAATATTTCTGTTTCCTCTGCTCAGTAATGTTCCTATCTGAGTTTATAGCATGTACAACTGATTCTCCTACAGTCTTTCAAATCGCCCATCAGTAAGACATTTGCCTTTGAGAGATAAAAAAAGAAGTGTTAAGTTAATCATATTCTAAAATTAATATTAAGAGCTTTCAACTCTTCAATATTTTTTCCTTGAGCCCTAAGAAATTGAAAATCCATCCGAAGTATTTACTATCCAGTTCTAATTCTTTAAACAAACAAAAAAAAGGTACAATATATTCACTGCACGATGAGTTTGGAGGAACCTTAGGGCTGTGACTGTACAGGTACAATATATCCACTGATTAATATCAGTAACGCTTCTTTCAGATTACAGATAACATCCCCTATTCATCTTACAGTTTCGACCCGTTGTTAAATACCATGCTTGCAGTATTTAAAATCTTGTTTTGGAATTCCCTGGCGGTCCAGTGGTCAGGACCCCACGCTTCCACTGCTGAGGGCGTGGGTTTGATCCCTGGTCGGGGGAACTAAGATCCTACGTGCCACACGGCGTGGCCAAAAAAAAAAAGTGTATAATATCTTGTTTTGACATATTTCCTCCACTAACAGCATTTCTTTTTCCCCTTGCTTTGTTTTTCCCTCCAAAGCTCAAACAACTGGGAGCTAAAGATGTAAGTACATTTAATAAACATTTCTTGAGTACTAAACATGGACACAATATTAGGGAGTATGAGGAATGTAGGATATAGTGCCTGCACTGAGATGTGTACAACCAGACTGATGAGAAAAGACATACAAACCATAATTAACTAGCAAGTCAAGACAACATATTTTAAAGGGCAAATAAGCACCAGAGGAAAAGAAACACTTATAGAGTTTAAGAGAGATCATTACGAGCTGATGTTTGGGAAATCTGATGGAAAGGGATCCTGAACTAGTATGTTCAAGAATGAGCACGACTCTGCCAGGTAGAGAGGAAAGGGGAGAGTATTACAGGAAGGGGCAGCAGACGGAGCAAGCACACAAAGGCTAGGACCGTTAAGTCACAACCAGATGTCCTGCCAAGTCTCTCTAAAATGTATTCTTCAGAACACTGGCTCTATAGACATTCACAGATACAAGGTGAAAAGAGAATTCCATGGCCCAGTAAGCCTAAAGAATGAGGGGTTTAATAAAGGTTCTTTATTTCAGGACTTCCCAGCGTCTTTAACGTGCTTGTATGCACAGACCTCCCAATCTTATCTGACCATGGAACTCTTTTGGGGGTTCTGCGGGATTACTGTTTTGCGAACTGCTGGTAGGGCTGACGGCCTCACTGCACGGGGTCGTG